AAATCAACTATAATCCGTGATAAAATCAACTAAAATCAATGATAAAAATCTGTGATAAAATCAACTAAAATCAATGATAAAATCAACTATAATCTGTGATTAAATCAACTAAAATCAATGATAAAATCAACTATAATCCGTGATAAATTCAACTAAAATCAATGATAAAATCAACTAAAATCAATGATAAAATCAACTATAATCTGTGATAAAATCAACTAAAGTCAGTGATAAAATAAACTAAAATCAATGCTAAAATCTGTGATGAAATCAACTAAAATCAATGATAAAATCAACTATAATCTGTGATAAAATCAACTAAAGTCAGTGATAAAATCAACTAAAGTCAATGATAAAATCAACTAAAATCAGTGATAAAATCAATAATAAAATCAACTAAAATCAATGATAAAATCAACTAAAATCAATAATAAAATCAACTAAAATCAATAATAAAATCAACTAAAATCAATGATAAAATCAACTATAATCTGTGATAAAATCAACTAAAGTCAGTGATAAAATAAACTAAAATCAATGCTAAAATCTGTGATGAAATCAACTATAATCTGTGATAAAATCAACTAAAGTCAGTGATAAAATCAACTAAAGTCAATGATAAAATCAACTAAAATCAGTGATAAAATCAACTAAAATCAATAATAAAATCAACTAAAATCAGTGATAAAATCATGTGGAGGCAGAATAGGTTTGCGTAAAAAGAAAAGTCTTTGTAAAACTTTGTACAACAGTTGGCTTTGTATTAAAAACATGTTATAGAATTTATAAAACGGTATCAAAGCAAAACATGTTCAAGTTTTAAGTAGTAAATACAGAATTATACATTCATTTGTTGGATAAGCGAATGTAATAAGCGCTGCATACAGATAGTGTTACGGAAGCGTTTAACATATTGACACTAATGATATGTATCAATGGGCACTTTTAACTGGGTATACTGAAATTCTTAAGCCTTTCTAGTGCGTATCGCGTAGACCACTACACCACGGGTTCTGAGGGTCCTCTCCCAGAAAATTTTGAATAAAGTAGATGCATGTTCCTGCCACCGTACCGCCCGTACACATGATCTTTTCACAAATTTTAAGGCATACACAATAAAAAAAAATGCACCAATAAGTCTACATACACTTGATGTAAACAATGGCTCCTAACTGACCCCAAGTAATCAGAAAGTCTCTGGAAAAGTGGTTTTAAAATGAAAAATGTATCGGACCCCTCTGTATAACCCTTCCTATGGACTCCACTTTAAAAGATCTGAACTGTCCCTTTAAGGAGCGCTGTTAATGAGTCATGTTCAGGTCTGATGGGTGCTGCTGTGTGGAGGAATGTCCTCTTTGTTGATGCGTTTCTAAGGCTACAGGCTGCAGAGAGCCGCGCAGTTTTACCTTGTTAGTGTAGAGAATTATTTAAAAAATAATCGTACAACTCTGAAAACATGAACCTGAAATCTACCCCCCACTCGGTGAAGCTGTGGCAGCTCCACGGGACGGACTACGAGCCGCAGAGACCCCCCAAACTGAAGGCAGAGACCCGCTTCAGCAGCTGGACCCCGCTGAACGACAAGCAGCGCAACCTGCAGGTCAGATTCTCACTCAGACCTTGAACGCACCACGACGGTGCAGTAGCCTCTGGCTAATTAAGCTGATATGAAACAGGTGCGCGCGCGCAGCTTCAGGTCATGCTCAGGTAAATACATATATTTTAATAAATCCAGCGCTGCTCATTTTAAACTAATTTATTGTTAAAGTTAAAATTAGGGTGTCCTGAGTTTGTTTTTTTTTCTCCAGATCGAGCAAGTACTTTAGGTACTTGCCGATAGTGAATATCACTACCGAGTAGTAGTAATGAGTTAAAACTATAGCAACACAATGACTTTAGAAACATGTCTGTTATTAAGAACATAGTCTGCTAACATCACCTGTGTTTATCTTAAAATGTCTCTAAGTGTGGACATTTATTATGTTTTGCTCTCGGTTATTGTACGTGCAAAGTGGAGGTGGAATGACGTCACCAAGCATCAAATTACTGAAGTGCTGTACATAACTGTCTTATTTGGAACACCCAAGATGTTAAGCATAAATCATATATTTTTTTTAGAACTGGGTGGATTATGATATTTGTAAAACATTTTACAATGATGGACAAATGTGTAGGTATGGTGAATTTCTTTCTGAATGTAACATCCCTGTAACCCCTGAACACTTTGCTGTTGTTTTTGACGTCATCCCAGCAGGTTTATATTCCTCATATCTACAGCTGATAGAGCCCAAGTCCAATATCTTCTGTTTCCAGAGATATTGATTGGAAACTCAGACCCTTAGTATTAAAACTGGGAATAAAAATATTAGAGAAATAATCCAAAAGAATAATATTAGTAAACCTGCTTCAGTCTTTTTTTTTTTTTTTTTTGGAACGATCTGTATTCTGATATTGATTGGGAACAGACGTCATCGTTGCCAAGAATTTTCTTTTTGTTTCAAATACAGTGAGGAAAATAAAGTATTTGAACACGCTGCGACTTTGCAAGTTTTCCCACTTAGAATTCATGGAGGGGTCTGAAATTTTCATCTTAGGTGCACGTCCACTGTGAGAGACATAATCTAAAAAAAAATAAATAAATAAATCGGAAATCACAATGTATGATTTTTAAAATAATTTATTTGTGCGTTACTGCTGCAAATAAGTATTTGAACACCTGTGAAAATCAAGGTTATTATTTGGTGCAGTAGCCGTTGTTTGCAGTTACAGAGGTCAAAGGTTTCCTGTAGTTTTTCCCCAGGTTCACTGCAGCAGAGATTTTGGACCATTCCTCCACAGATCTTCTCTAGATCAGCCAGGTTTCTGGGCTGTCAATGAGAAACACAGAGTTTGAGCTCCCTCCAAAGATTTTCTATAGGGTTTAGGTCTGGAGACTGGCTAGGCCACTCCAGAACCTTGATATGCTTCTTACGGAGCCACTCCTTGGTTCTCCTGGCTGTGTGCTTCGGGTCATTGTCATGTTGGAAGACCCAGCCTCGACCCATCTTCAATGCTCTGAGGGAAGGAGGGTGTTCTTCAAAATCTCACAGTACATGGCCCCGGTCATCCATCCATCCATTATCTTTACCCGTTTATTCCATTTTGGGTCACGGGGGTCGCTGGTGCCCATGTCCAGCAATCACTGTGCGAGGGGCGGGGTACACCCTGGACGGGTCGCAAATCCATCACAGGGCCACATAGAGACAAACGAGACAAACAACCATTCACTCTCTCACTCACACCTAGAGACAATTTAGAGTTACCAATCAGCCTAACATGCATGTTTTTGGACTGTGGGAGGAAACCGGAGTACCCGGAGAAAACCCACGCATGCACGGAGAGAACATGCAAACTCCACCCAGAAAGGCCCCTGGACCGGGGTTTGAACCAAGGACCTTCTCGCTGAGAGGCAGCAGCTCTACCAGTTGCGCCACCGTGCTGCCCTGGCCCCGGTCATCCTCTCCTTAATACAGCGCAGTCATCCTGTCCCATGTGCAGAAAAACACCCCCAAAGCATGATGCTTCACAGTAGGGATGGTGTTTTGGGGATGGTACTCATCATCCTTCGTCCTCCAAACACGGCGAGTGGAATTAAAACCAAAAAGTTTGATTTTGGTCTCATCTGACCACAGAACTTTCTCCCATGACTCCTCTGGATCATCCAAATGGTCATGGTCAAACTTAAGATGGGCCTGGACGTGTGCTGATTTAAGCAGGGGAACCTTCCGTGCCATGCATGATTTTAAACTATGACGTCTTAGTGTATTACCCACAGTAACCATGGAAACAGTGGTGCCAGCTCTCTTCAGGTCATGGACCAGCTCCTCTCGTGTAGTTCTGGGCTGATTCTTCATCTTTCTTAGGATCATTGATACGCCACGAGGTGAGATCTTGCATGGAGGCCCAGTCCGAGGGAGATTGACAGTCATGTTTAGCTTCTTCCATTTTCTAATAATTGCTCCAACAGTTGATCTTTTTTCACCAAGCTGCTAGACAATTGCCCTGTAACCCTTTCCAGCCTTGTGGAGGTCTACAATGTTGTCTCTGGTGTCTTTGGACAGCTCTTTGGTCTTAGCCATGATAGTAGTTGGAGTCTTACTGACTGTGTGGGGTGGACAGGTGTCTTCATGCAGCTAACAACCTCAAACAGGTGCTTCTAATTTACAATAAGAAGTGGAGGTGGACTTTTTAGAGGCGGACTAACGGGTCTTTGAGGACCAGAATTGTTGCTGATTGACAGGTGTTCAATACTTATTTGCAGCAGTGTAACACAAATAAATTATTTAAAAAATCATACATTGTGATTTCCGGATTTTTTATTTATTTTTAGCTTATGTCTCGCACAGTGGACATGCACCTAAGATGAAAATTTCAGACCCCTCCATGAGTTCTAAGTGGGAGAACTTGCAAAGTCGCAGCGTGTTCAGATACTTATTTTCCTCACTGTATGTTCTATTATAAACATTTTCCGCCGCTGTGTTTTTCAAAATACATTATTTGATTACTTTAAATAAACAGGCACTTATTTTTTTTAATAAACTACATGGGATATGTTTTATACCACCAGTTTTCCCCTAATAAGCTACTTGTGGTCTTGACTCCACAAAAATCAATTCAAGACTTTAAGCAAAACGTGCAATAATTGATTCAACCTTTTATTTATACAGATTATTCTCATTGAGTCATGAGGACTGATTTTCAAGAGAGACCTGTTTTATTGACAACATATAAAGTACATACATCAAAAACTTTTAAAAGACTAGCCACAACCAGCTTCTTTTAAAAACAGTAGAACATTGGAACAGCTCTTTAAACTCATTAGGGTTCCTCGGGGGTGTTCCCATATAATCTACATTACAATCCTCCAGCAAGAGGTGGCGGTGGAAAGAGATGTGTGGTGCTCCATACCAAGCTGCCACCCAACTCCGGAACAAGTGGCAGATAATAGACGAATAGATGGATGAATGAATAATTTGTTCATTAGAAAAGTAGCTGACTTCAGATTTATTTATTTATTTATTTTTTCAAAAAATACTGACCAATTAGCTGAAAAAACTTTTACGAATTAGCAAATGAAGAATTAGATCTGTAGTTATAAGCAATATTGTCTTGTTTCAGCTTGGTCAAATATTCACCTAAATGAAATGTATTTTTTCCTAAATACGTGCTTGTTTATTGTCACTAATGATCTGAAAATTAAAATCGAGAGACACCAACATTGTGTTTCAGATCGTGTGCATTCTGTTGTTTATTTCAAATTCAAAAAGACTATTAATCCCCAAAGGGAAATTAAATGCTTTTATCTTCGTTTCATTAAGAGATGTTATAGATGCTGAAGATGCTGTAGGCAGGAAAGATCTCTTGTAAAGGTCAGTCCCACAGCGGATCAGAAGAAACTGGCCACTGATGCCCTCCATTCCGTTCACCCTGACTAGAATGGCCTTGCGGTTCCTCTGGGCAGCAGGATTGCCCGAATGCTGGGCAGAACTCCTCCCAGAGCCATCTCAAGAACCTGAGTGGAAGCCACTCCTCCCAGCAGCCTCCCGAGGTCCATGTCGCTGCGAACAGCTGGCTGCAAGTGCCGGGGGACGATCCTGTCCTTCTGCTGTCACGAGCCGTGTTTCCTGCTAGCTCTAGGATGTCAGCGGTCAGGCACTCAAGCACAGCCGGCATGGAGACGGGAGTGCATCTATGGCACCTCCTTTTCAACTCATTTGAGATTTGGGGCTGTAGTTGAGATGTTATTTGAGCTTTTGTGATGTTGTTCAACTGCTCCCGTTTCTAAAAAAAAAAAAAACACCTTGTTGTTATTGTTACGCACGATAACAAATGTCCAAAACTAAAAAAAAGTTTTGGTAAAAATCCTTCCATCTGCACAGCATTTGATACCAGAGGAAACAATCATCACAAAAAATGCGATTTACATCCAGAAAAAGAGGAATTAAAGTTTGCAAAAGCAAAATCTCTCAATGAATGTAACAGAGCTACTCCAACATGCAGCCACCCCGAGCGGTGCAATTCAATGTTATTTCTGCCCAGTTATTTGAGGAGCGGGTGAATCTTGTGCTGCACTGGTTCGACCTGTGGACCGACACTCAGAGGAAACACCTACTGCACTCTCTGCTCTCTCGTGGCTCCAAGTCGCAGCTCAAGTAAGGCAATTTGGACCTTGTTTTCATTGTATTTCGTTGGAAAACCACACTGAAAATCTTCGACCATCTGAGCAGGTACTGCAGAGATCTACTCATTGAGACGGTTCCTGTAACTCACGCAGACTTCACGGCGATACTTCCCCGGTTTTTATCCCTGTACGTCATGTCCTTCCTATCCCCTCGAGAACTTTGCAGCGCTGCTCAGGTCAGCTGGCACTGGAGGATCCTGTCAGAGCAGGTGAGCGGTCCCAAATCTGCATTTGAATTGAGTTTTTTTTTTGTGAATAACAAAACCTGTGGATCTCTCCAGGACTGTCTTTGGGCCGACCGCTGCATCAGAAGAGGCTGGTTCCTTCCCTACACTCCTGGAGAAAAAGAGTATGGAGCTTGGAAGAACCATTATGTGTCCTGCGTCTCCTGGCTCACGCCACGGGAGGCGTCCAAGCCGTACGGAACCTTAAACCAGCAGAGCCCAGGGCTGATGGAGGAGGAAGAAGAGAGGAGTGAGGAAAGGAGGATCAGGCAGAAAATCAGAGATGTGCTTCAGGTGGAGAAGAGTGAGTCCTAATGAAAATGATCTGAAGAATGATCATTTTTGGTTTTGACCTGATTTTTAAACTTTGCAGTTCTGTCTTAGTCTGCATGTTACTGTTAGGTCAGTAATTCTCTGTGCAGTGGTCTAGACATGGTTTTTCTCAATGCATTCCTTATCACATCATATCTACAGGATTATCCATGAGTAGCAGGAGACCATGGGGCTACGCAAAACCTGACGGATCCAGAGGTGGAAGTATGCATGCAGGAAGGTCCAGCTCCGGGTTAACGTCCAGTTCTTGGCCTTCTCTGTGCTGGCAGTCAAAGGCAGCTCAATCTTCCAGCATTTGTTTCAGTGTGGACAAGAAACAAACTGTGGAAGGAGCTCAGAGCTTGGAGAGAGTGAAGACATCCAGGGTTAACAGGTGATTGTCTTCCTGTTGCATAGTGTCAATGTTTATGAAGCATTCACACTGCTGTGATCCTTTTTTTATTTTTTGTTCGTTTTTCAGCATCTTTCTCGTTCCATACTTTTTGTGCTATTTCAGCAAATCGTATATCAAAATGTTCAGCTCGTTCAGGAAAAAAGTGCTATGATTTTTGGTATTGGTGCAGCTTTAGATTTTTGAAATATTTAGCCTTTTCTGCCATTTTTTCCTCATAGAAAGTGAATTGAGTTCATTTTATCTCCAAATCTTTAGATCTGTTTACAACCTTTTACTGCTCCTTTCACATTTTGTTCTGTTTCAGCTTCCTTATGCAAATTTAATCTTTTATTCAGCTAGTTTTAGCTAATTTCAGCAGTTTTTTTTCAGCTGTTTTGTGATCCTTTTACATTATTTCTGCTAAGCACAAGAATTTTGTGCTTCTAACTTTGTGCTTCTAACTTCTTTCTGCTCATTTCAGCTTTTAATTTCAGCTCTTTTCAGCTTATTTATGCGTTTCAGCTTTTTCTACTATTTCAGCTGCTGTTCTATTTAGCTGGTTTATGTTAATTTTAGCCTTTTAAGCTAATTCCACATTTTTTTTTGCACTCATTTAAACTTTTTTCACCGTAATTCAGCAAAAATGTACTCTCTTGACTTCCTTCTGGCATTTTAAGCTTCTTTCTGCTTTTTTGGCTACTTATCAGCTGGGTTTTTTAATTTTTTTTAATTTTTTTTACTAAATTCACCTTTTTTCAGATCATTTCCACTTTTTGTGCTTATTTCTGCATCTTTCAGCCTAATTGGGCAAACATGTTCTTTCTGCTTTCTTCTGCTAATTTAAGCTTGTTCTACCTTTTTAGCATTTTTCAGCTGTTTTCAGATAAATTCAAGTTTTAGTGGTAATTTCTGCTACTTTCAGTCTACCGGTAATTAACTTCTTTCTGCTAATTTCAGCTTGTTATGCTCCTTCCAGCTGATCTCTGCTAGTTTCAAAATTTTCAGCTACTATTTAGCTGTTTTATGCTAATTTTTCCCAGTTATTTCCACATTTTTTTGCACTCCTTTCTACTTTTTTCAGCCTAATTCAACAAAAATGTGCTCTTTCCACATCCAGCTGGTAATTTAAGCTTTTTTCAGCCTTTTTAGCTACTTTTCAGCATTTTTTATGTTGCCAATTTCAGCTCTTTTCAGAAAATGTTCACTTTTTGTGCTCATTTTTGCATCTTTAAACAGAACTCAGCAAATATTATTTTTGCTTTCTGCTAATTTATTCTTCTTCTTTCATTTCAGCATGTTTTTCAGTCAAGTTCAGCTGTTTTTCAGCAAGTTCTTCTGCAATAAGCATTCACAATGTATTTTCACATGAAATGCAATTTCTCTAGTAAATCCTTGTATCCAACATGACAAGTGTAGTAAATACTAAATATTACTGCATTTTTATGGTTGAATACACTTTGATCTTGGTTTTTAAGCAGACAACACAAAAAGAGGTTAGCATTTTGTTGGACTGACGCTCCCAAACAATTAAACTCACCATGGCTGCACAAATACCATACACGTGTACGTATGTTCATGGAAAATCATTGATGTTTTAAACAATGATTTTGTCTGATCAGTTAGTGCTTGAATTTGACAATTACACATAGCTTCTATCGCACCTGGTGTTGGCTCATTTTTTGTCACACTGACAGAGTTTTAGCCATTTCTGTTTTTTCTGAAGCCAGTTTACCGTTGCAGCCATCGTAAATAGGTTTGACTCGAAGAATTTATGGGTTATAGATGTGCATCCAATCATTATTTTAAATGCTTCATTAAAATTGTCCATAGGTTCTTGAGATTTTGCAGAAGTTTCTGATGAGTCTGAAGAGATTGACATTTACTTGTGCTTTTTTGCTAACCCTCTTAATCTGTCTGTCAAGGTATACTATTACATGCAGTGATTCGTATGTTTCCCTTCAGTGAAAGTCTCTCTAAAGCCAAAGGAGTTTTGTCATCCTTCACCTCCAGAACTGCAGCTGCTCACACAACCTCTAACTGTAGTCCTGCTGCTCTCTTGCTGCTCGTCTCCAACAGAATCCCAGCATACGAGGTTCAAACTATATTTTTCTTTCGTGTAGTAGGGAATGAACAGACGACCCTAAATCAGTATTAAAATATTTTCCCCTTCTTTTTTCCCCTTTGATCCAGCTGGTTCTGAGCGGTGTAAAAGCCGGAGTGATTGTGGTCCTGTACGACTACAGAGAGACTCTCCCAACTCTGTTGATGGAGGTGGAGAGAACCGTTTCAGGGCTGCCGGTTCAAAGAGTCGGCCTGCTAGCTCCTGGAGGAACAGAGGAAATTCATCTGCTTCATGGTGAGACTTTAGCTTCTGCTGCTAGCTTTAAAGCTGTTTTAATTATTTATTTCACTGTGTGAAATGCCTAAAAACCTTTAAGTATCTTTCATCTATTTGTTAAGCTTATTAATGAAAAGAAAAATTGTTTTTTAGATGTTTTATTTTATTTATTTATGATGTCTTGGGACGCTCCTGATTTTCGAAGGCAAATCAAAAATTATATTATGTTTTGCTTTACATAACTTCTGATGCACTGCGTTTGATACAATAAATTACAATTAAATGTTATGTTACAATTTTATAATTATGGTTTGATTTATTGTTCTAAAATGATACTGTACTATATAATACAATAGACCAATATTTTCTATTTTATACAATATGATACATTGCTACAAGACATTAAGAAAGAATGCAATATGTAACTGTAAAATGCAATACAATTTAAGTTGTTACAATTACATTTTCATAGAGTGTTAAACATTTTGATGCTTGTTACAATAAAAAATGTTTTACAATTTGATAGAACGCTTTACACTGAAATAACTTGATAATTTGCGATGTAAGACATGTTACAAAACATAAAATACACATAGCAGAATTATATCCTGTAACTCAGCGGTCCCCAAATTTTTTGCGCCACGGACCGGTTTAATGTCGGATAATATTTTCACAGACCGACCTTTAAGGTGTGGCAGACAAATACAACAAAATAAAACGATACGACTGGCATTAAAACTGGTACAGTAGTCCCTCGTTTATCGTGGGGGATCCGTACCCTGAAGACCAACGATAAGTGAAAAACTGCAAAGTAAGAATAGTAGTGCAAGTAGTAAGTAGTAGTTTGTTTTTATTTATATAGAAATATATTAAGGCGTTTTAAACCCCACACTCTTACAATATTCTAAACAATGTTTCTAAACTCTAAACGCTCCAAAAGAGCACAGAATGTCATGATTTCAGCTCCCTGCCTCCTCTGCTCGTACCTGCAAAAGCTCTTGGCCACGCCCACTTCTCTGCACTGCACAGTGAGCAGCTGATCAGCTGCAGCAGGAGTATGGACTGTACAAAGGTGCAGAAGGTGCTAAATAATTTAAAATAATTTATTTTGAATATAAACTCCGTGCCGATCGTGCAGCTCATCCGTCAATCAGCCAAGTTTGTCTCATGTCCAATCTTATTTTGAAAAACTGTGATAGAGCGAGTCCACTATAAATGAACCGCGAAGTACAGAGGGACTACTGTACTGTATTTTCTAAATATAATAATAAACGTGAATCCACTGTGCATGCAACTTTATTAGCAGCGTCCTCGTAACATTGCGCTAACATCGTAACCCCACACTCTCTGGTCATAAAAGTAAAGATTAAACATGCCTTCAACCTAAGAATCACCTCAAAAACAAAAATAAAGTGCATGAAAAATACAACTCACCATAATGCTGTGGGAGCCCTGAGCTTGTTTCTCTGCAACGAGACAGTCCCATCGAGGGGTAATGGGAGACAATGACACCCAAAGTGTGTTGCTTATGTCCAGTCTGATTCATAATTTTGTTTTGGTTGCTGTCACGGCAGAAAACCCTGCTTCACACAGATTGGATGTCTTAAATGGCACCAGGGTTTTCAGTGCTGTTGTGGCGATCTCTCATAACTTTAATCCAGAACACCGGCAGAGTTGTTGTCTCAAACATACTTTTAAGGCCACGGTCATTTGCGATCTCCAGCATTTGATCTTCTTGCATAGACACGATGGATTCCCCTGGTTTGTTAGCGAATGTGTCGCAGATCTTAAAGAAGATCCTTTAAGAAGGTAGCCATGTGACCGTGGCTAGCATCTTGACCTGTGTCGAGTGAGTCATAGGCGGATGTGGCAGAGAGAATCTGGTAATTTTCCAAAATAAAATATTGTTCAAAGTCAGATACTAAATACAACTGAAATAATGTAAGTTATGTATTATTTCTGTGCGGCCCGGTACCAATTGACCATGGACCAGTATCAGACCGCGGCCCGGGGGTTGAGGACTACTGCTGTAACTTATGACAAGTTACAACACATTTAAAATACTTGATTATACAAATCACTTTTTTCTTATTAGGAAAACTTGTTTTACATTCTGCTGTCCCAACAGCTGCTCACGCAAAAGTGACAAATAAATCATTAATAACACATCTCTACAACACATTTAAATCATCCGTATAAACTTAAAGGGATCCATGAATATTTGAACATGTTGGCCTAAATATGTTGTATTTTCCTATTAACTTAAAAATTACTGTTTGTGATATGTAAAAACTAATAATTACTTCAAAAATGTTATATCTTTTGTTATATTTTTTTACCCATGGAGGGAGCCATTTTTTCTCCTGCGCAATGCATGCTGGGTTGATGACATGGTTAGGTCCATTCTGTACTGGAATCTACGGAGTAAACACGGGAAGGCTAGCATTACCTGAGTTGCTTTTATGATATTGCGTTTGTAAATTTAGATAATGCCACACTGCGTCGCTGTTGGCTGTAATTTCAAAACAGAAAAAGGCAGAAATAATGAGGTGAGTGTGCACCACTTCCCAAATGAAAAAGAAGAAGAGCGCAATGGGAAGAATTTGTCAAAAGAACAAAACTTCCGAAGGACCCACATTTGTGCTCTCAGCACTTCTTTCCAGAAGACGACGAAGGAGCTGACCGGTGGTTGTTACCCGCGAAAGCTAAAATCAAATGTGCCGATAATTTTTAACCACAAAGTGCCTAAACTTTGCCGCCAGCTAGCAAGTGAAAGATGCTGGGAAAAGAATCAGAGACAGGCTACGCTGGAAGCTCTAGCTATTCTCACAGCCGATGGTACCGAATGTAAAATCATGGATCCAACACCAGACCAAAGACCAGACCCTATACAGGTGCTGCCGGACCTGACAGTAGACACAGAGCATGGCATCTACTCACCGGATCACACAGTTCGATCAATGGTACGTGTTCATCCATGGTTTCATTTACGAAGCTGAAGTTTGCTTCCGATTTTGGAAATGGCTAAAGAGGGATTCCACATCAATTTTTCACTACCTTACGTGTCTTTAATCTGTTCGTTTGTAACTTTAATCTGTTCTAGTTTAAGTGTATTTAATCTGTTCTAGTTTAAGTGTCTTAGTTTAAGTGTCTTTAATCTTTTCTAGTCTGTAACTTTAATCTGTTCTAGTTTAAGTGTATTTAATCTGTTCTAGTTTAAG